GAGAGAGAGAGAGAGAGAGAGAGAGAGAGAGAGAGAGAGAGACATGAAACAAAAATAAGACGCCATCAGCGAGTGTTGCGTTGCGCCACGGCGTAGCAGTGGCGGGGKCCACTTGTTGCAGAAACGAGTCCATGAAAACAGTTGTTGTTTGTGCCTTTTTGTTTTTCATTCTCCAACCGCCTATCTTTGCAGTGATCGAGTCCGTGAAAATGCTGGTGATTTGGTGGTCCATTGTGTGTCCTTTTTGCAGGTCTGCGGATTTGATCTTCTGCGTTCAAATGGACGTTCATATGTCTGCGACGTGAATGGTTGGAGCTTTGTCAAGAACTCTTACAAGTATGTTATGTCAGGACAACCTTGCGAAGGGTTACTGATGTGTTTCTGTGGTTATGGGTTGGAGACGAGATGATTCTTGTGATTGTTGCATGTTAGGTCATTTGCTACCAATGTGTGGTATGTGAAATGGTAATTGATCGACTCTTTGTCAGCGGGGGTTGAGTTTCATAGATCATAGTCGGACTAGTACTTCCTCAACTGAAGTGTTGGTGGAAAATGTCCTAGTGTGAGTACACCCTTGGTCTCTTTCAGGGGATTTGTTCCACAGCTGACCTGCTGCCAAGCAGGATATCCAGTGTAAAGGAAGAGTTAGAGTGTTTGAGGAAGGAAATGCAGGGAAGATGAGACTGGAAAGAACGGAAACTAGCAAACAGAGTTGAGCTGCTTGAGCACTATTTTATGCCTGGTCATTGGCTCTCCTGGCATGTGATAAGAGTTCAAATTAAGTGGAAGTTTTTAATGGCAGGGGTACCATGGCACTTAGCATGGAGCAAGCAAACATGCCCACAAAGGTGAATCTTTTTCTCTTTCTTTTAAAACAAAAGTTTATTATAAATGCTGGAAACGGGGTCCACCATCGCTTACATTGTTGGCTCACACAACACTTCTTCCGTTGTGGTTGAAGCTCCCTGAGACAGTGGGATTGATTATTCTGGCTTAGGCAACACTTCCTCCCATTGCGGTTGAAGGACCCTGAGACAGCGGGATTGATTACTTACTCCTTTTAAAAGGAGGATTCAACCCTGTTCCACCCCTGCCAAATCTTAATCAATCCTCTCATCCTCCTGTGCTACGAGATAGACCTCACAAGCCAGAGTCTTTATTGCTCCTCTCCGCCCCCTGGGCACGCCTGAGGTCACCGGCAGCATGCATGTCAAAGGGGTGCCTGTGGTGGGTTAAGGTCCTTGTGGTGAAGAATGACCAAACTGTTAACAAAACGCTTCATGGAATCTTCACCAACAACAGGCATTGAAGTGAATCTGATATATATGTGGTTGTTATGTTCTCCCCCCTCTTCTCAAGGGGAGTGGCCCCGAACATCAGGGCTTGAATGCATGATCTGTTTATCTTTATGTGTGCGCCATTCAGCCACAAACCTAGGAACCAGTACTGTTGGACCATCACGAACTCGTGAAAGATCGGGTCAATCCCTGCAGTCCAACAAATCATCATTCCAATGGGCCAACTCAGAAAGAAGAGGCTTCCTGGTAACCAGAGAAGCCACAAAAGATAGTGCTGGTTCAAAGAGAGGTGCAAAAGATCATCAACGACAACGTTTATGCCCTTCGGTGCACTGGAGGAAGGTTTTGGAAGAACGGAGGACGTTTCGGCTTGGGCTGTTTGGTGACAGCTGATATCCATGATAATGACGGATATAGAGGGGCTCTGAGCACTGGTCCGAATGACCTTTTGCTTGGTGCTGTGTTGAGTGGGTTGAGGTGGTATGATGTGGGGAAGGAACAGTGGGCTCGAACAAAGGTGAGATTTGTTTTTTGATTGCTTATTGTAGTTGAGTCCGTGGGGATTGCAAGCAGGTACTATGATGATGCTGCATGTGTGCTGAGGAGTATGCTGCTTGAGCAATTAGCACCACATCTATATGCAGGACCATTGGAAACATTACCTTGGAGCAAAGGTGATATGTCGCCAAAGAGGGCAAACAGTGCTCACGGTGGAACGTTCGGGAGTGTGGAGGAGCTACGGGCAGTTGTGGCTGTGATTCGACAGTGAGTTTCATTCACAGTCCCACCACTGTCTTTTTTCTTGTTTCCCCCTTTTCCCCCCTTTTAGCCCCTTTTTCGCCTTGCAACAATGGCAAGTGTCGGATTATCGTTTGGTCATTTCAGTTGTCATGTCAGATGAGAGGGGGAAGTGGAGAGGGAGGCAAGGTGGGTGGGGGGGGAAGAGAGAGAGAGAGAGAGAGAGAGTGAGAGAGAGAGAGAGAGAGAGAGAGAGAGAGAGAGAGAGAGAGAGAGAGAGAGAGAGAGAGAGAGATTCTTCCTCTTCCACCACCTCCTCCTCTTCTTCTTTTTCGTCTTGTGTGTAACGAACTCAACCTGAGAAGCTGACACCATCATCACAATGCGCAATGAATGGAACCATCAAAGAGATAACAATGTAGTCAGGCAAAAGAGACGGAGAAGAATAGGAGAAGAAAAATGGCTTAAGATAATGGACATATATCACAATGTCTGGCCTTTTCTTTCAAGCTTCTACCCCCGGGTTCGTCTTCCTCCATTCTATCCACTGCAAGTGATGAAGCCAGTTTCTAGACCTAACACCTAATCAATGCTCAAAACCACCCTACAAGTCAAACTCTCACAAGCACTGGCTTCTAGGGCCAGCACAATGAAGAGCCACATGAGAGATGACAATGTCGGCTATCAACAGCAAAGTGCTGGTCCTCCACGTGGCGGCACCAGTATTCCAGGTAAGTTTCTTGCTCTCTCGGGCTATGGTGTGTCCCTCAAACCTCCATATCTTCTCTCTCTAATCTGTGGTGCCATGAGAAGTTCCTACTCCCAGCTATTGCTATAGGTCTCACTCTCACTCTAGGTCTCTCTCAGCTCTGGCGTCCTCCATTGCAAGTCCAGCGCAACACTCCAACATGTCCTTGGTAGTGGTTTTCTGTTCTTAATGATTATTGTCATCAGACACCCATACTCTATGCACAACCTAAGTTATTGTTCTCTCTTGGGCACAAATAAGGAACGCGCAGCATATGGAGGAGAACTTGGTTTGATTGAACCATTTCCTGCATGTTCTTGCAGTCGTTTCTTTAATTCTAGTTCCAACGCTTCTTCTTCTTCTTCTTCTTCTTCTTCTTCTTCTTCTTCCTCTTCTTCTTCTTCTTCTTCTTCTTCTTCTTCTTCTTCTTCTTCTTCTTCCTCCTTCCTCTTCCTCCTCCCCTTCCTCTTCCTCCTCCTTCCTCTTCTTCCTTCCTTCGTTCCTTCTTCCTCTTCCTCTTCCTCTTCCTCTCCTTCTTCCTCTTCTTCTTCTTCTTCTTCCTTCTTCCTTCTTCCTTCTTCTTCCTTCTTCTTCCTCTTCTTCTTCTTCTTCTTCAACCAACAACAACCAACAACAACCAACAACAACCAACAACAACAACAGGAGGAGGAGGAGGAGGAGGAGGAAGAAGGACAAGAAAGAGGAGGAGGACGGCAAGGATTCACATCACCAACACCTTCGGATTCAACAACAACAATATAACAAGAGGAGGAGGAGGAAGGGGAAGGAGAAGGAGGAGGAGGACGCGGAGGAGAAGGACATTGTTGTTGTTGTTGTTGCATTGTTGTGCCCGTTGTTGTTGTTGTTGTTGGTGCTGGTGTTGTTGTTGTTGTTGGTGGTGGTGCTGTTGTTGTAGTTGTTGTTGTTGTTGTTGTTGTTGTTGTTGTTGTTGTTGAATCTGAAAGGTGTTGGTGGAGTAATGGTGAAATAGTGCTGTTTGGTGGTATGGCATGTGTTGAAGGACCATTTGGTGGATGATCTAGCAGCTATATGGGCAGCCTGACGCAGCCATATATTTGTACTTGTTGTGTCCGGCAGATTTGAACTGTGAATGGGTGCATAGTTCAGCTTACAGCTGGTTCTGTGCTTAGAGGCGTGTGACATGTGCAAGTTTTTTATTGTTTGTGAAGGGATTTGGGGGGGAGGGTGATGTATGGGAGTGGTCAAGTCCCTTACGTTGTTGCATCCCATTGGGATCTGAACTCTTGATCTGTCTATCAATAGTCACATGTCTGTACCATCCGCTGCCAGTTGGCAGATGTTTTTTTTGCACCGTGACGAGGACCAATTGTGAGGGAGTTTGATGTGAGTGTATTTGCAAATAATCGCTAACTTACTTGGAGAATCATCAGGAGAACCATAAACTTGGAACGTGGAGCTGGGCAATACATCTCATGAAATACGTGTGTTTGTGACTTCGGCTCACGGAATACAATGTGACCAATTGACTAGATTGTGGCTGTGCGGAATGTGCCATTGTGTCACAAAGTGGTGACCGAACACCGAAGGAGAAGCTGAAGATGCGTGTGACTCAGGACCGACTGCTCAGCTTAATGCTCAAGTATAATGGAGGAAAGCCACGCACGGAGGTATGGTCTTGAGGAATGTCCATTATTGGCAGCACTGGCCTTGTTGAATATGGAGGGACTGCAGCATCATGTCCTTCAGTGAGCATGATAACCTTATGTAAGGGTTAGAGTTTAGAGCACAACATTACTCTTGGAATGGAAAAACACGTTCCATGAGCCATCAAGCGCCAAGCCACATGGGGAAACCACTTCACTTCGTGTTTCTAGACAAAACACATGATTGACCTCTTGGCTCCGTTACAGTAGAAAAACAAATCGTCCAGAAAAATGCAGAGAAGTTGCAGAAACCTCAGCAGGAAAAATAAGTGCAGACGTGTATCTATGTTCCAGGTAGATGATTTGGTCTGGGTCAAGTCATCAGAGTTCAGCCATGAAGATAATAGCTGTAGGAAGTAACAACGTTGTTTCATGGGCCTTTGAGTGGTTTTCAGCATTGTAGGCATTAATCCGTACATTCCTAGTACTTCCTACCTGTGTGATTGACGTCCGTCCTCATCCTCGTACTTACCCAGTCTTTCATTGACCAAAGCTGTTGCCTTTCAAGACCAACAATCAGTTCCCCATGTTCAGATCTATGTTGCTCCCTTCCATGGATCGGTATGTACCTAAATCAACAGGGAGAGAGTGTTCACTGAAGCCTAAGGTGTAATTCAGAGTTAGGTTCAGATACCATATTGATCCCTGTGAAGATCGTTGGTTTACAAGGGAGGAGCTGATTGTAACAGAGTATGAGAAGGCTGTCAAAGGAAAGCAGCAAGTCCGATGCACCCCAGACTGTAACAGGGTATGAAAGGTATCTCAGAGGGCTGTGTACCAAAGGAGTGGGGGGGGGGGGAAGTAGCAAGGCCTCGGCAGTAAGGGCCTGTAGGCCCTGTCAGTGTGAGAAAGGCATGAAGTGGCCAATGGGCGGTAGAAAAAGGGCCTGGCCTGGTCGGTACTGGTGAGCAGGGATACCGACGCAGGCTGCACCCCAGATTGTAACGGGGTATGACAAGGCTCTCACGTGAAAGCAGCATGTGGAATGAAGAGTAGCTCGGAGGGTTTCATACCAAAGGGCAGGGGAGCGTGAAGCAACAAGGCATCTGTAGTAAGGGCCTGTGGGCACTAAGTCCCGAGGGGCCCTGCCAGTGCGAGAAAGGCATGAAGTGCCCTGTTCGTGGTGGAAAAAGGGGCTGGTCTGGTGAGTATTGGTGAGCAGAGATACCAACCTCAGTCCAGGGATATTGGAAAGGGCTGTGCGAGGCAGAATGCACTTGGATGCAGGCTGCCGCCAGGCGGAACAAGTGCTGAGTCGAGCAGTGTGTAGCATCCAGCCGGTGGCAGCCATTTCTGCTTCTGAGGAAGAAGGGCAGCACCATGGTGTTGGGGCTCTGAGGTGTACGAGGAAGGTAGGGAGAAGAAAGTCTAGTGCTACTGGAGGACAGCGGGGTGCTGCAAGCGGGAAGCTGGCGTGAGGCAGCCATAGCCAGGCTTGCCTCGATGAAGCTGGTGTGAATGATGGTGGTCCTTCTGGTGAGAGGGTGATGAGAGAGGTGAGAGAGAAACATACCTGGTGTATATGTGGCAGTCTACATAGGCGACTCCATCATGTAAATGGTTCTTTAGCTGGAAGTGTTTCCTGGTTGTTTCGTTAATTAGTTGTAGGCTAGTATAGGTTCGAGTAGTGGTAGGCTGGGCGCTGAGCGCCAATCAAGAAGAGCGACATTGGATACATTGTTGATAGTGGAGAGATAGGGCTACATTGACATTTGAGTCCATTGCATTGCTCTTATTTGGCTTGTATCTTGGTGCATTCTGCTTTCTGCTTGGGACACGACTACCTGGTCTTCAATGTGATGTTGCAATTTGGTTTTCTGTCTATTGCTCTCGCTCGTTTTCCTTGTAAAAGAAAAGGCTGCACACATTGCTACCGGGGGCGATAAGAGCGACCACCTGTGGCACCCATGGTTTGCGGCTCTGGTCTATTGGTGGGGAGTGTCACCTGCTGGAAAACGGGTCCAGCCTCCCTGAATGACACAGTCAGGCCTGTAGTCCCCAGCAGCATTGATTGCCCTTGGAGACCCAAGGGGATTGACCGCCCAGGCTGTAAGGAAACTGCGAAATGCAGCTAAACAGCTGAACCAGACGATTACTACGCAACACGGCATTGGTTACCCTGCGTTAACAAGGGATACCAATAGTTTCGCCATCAATCCATGAGTCATCTATCGGGATGCAGGGCAGTTGTGCAATAAATCGCAGTTTCGCAGTTGGGACTGCACACTAAGTGTTCGGCTTTGTAGTTTGTTGTCTTGTTTTGAGCCCTGCGGGACTTGATCCCGTGACCTGTAACCTGTGTGTTTTGTTTGTGAGCGTTGAGCCCTATGGGACTTGATCCCTGAGTCTGTCACTAGTAGTCTCCGTTTGGTAGTCCTAGGCCATTCGGCCTTTTCCTTTGCCTTGTCATAGGTCTAGGTCCTCTTTTCCCCTGTTTCCATCTAGATACAGATGAGTCTTCGGTTGTTGCCTTTGGAGTCCGTCGTAGGTCTAGGCAGAGGGTAGAAGTAGCGGGCAGGAAATTTGGTTCGGGGCTTTTCACGTTTTCGTTGGCTGGGAAAACTCTGCCCGCTCGTTGTTGGAGCGCTGATGCTCTATTTTGGGCGAGGTCATCTTCTTCCTTCAAGCCCAGCCATAGCTGGGGTGCTGCCATCTTCCACTTGGCAGCCATATCTGCTGTTCCTCCTCTCGAGGAACTTTGTCTTCTTCAAAGTGCTGGATCGGTTGTCTCCTTCTTTATCAGGACTTCCAGCGCTGCACTGCTGTGCGGGTGCTGAGCTGGCGCTGTTATCATTAGGGCTGCTGCTTCAGATTGGCACGTTGTGACAGCTGTGGGGTTACTGCTGCTACGGCAGTCATAGCCAGGGGTATGAGGTGGCGAGGAGGAAGAAGAAGACTCCTGCATACTTCGTTGAACAGTTGTTTTTGGTTGTTCGGGGTTGTAAACGTGGTTGTGATTCTTGCAACAAGTACTCTGGATTGATTGGAGGAGGACGAGGGATTGCAGAAGTGAAATTCGTTTTTCAATTCTCTGTGTATTTTGAGCTTCCGCTGTGCATATCTTCTCTCCGGTTTTGTGTGGATTTGCCTCCTTCGAGTCTACTCTGCAATTGCATGCGTGTATGGGAACATGTGAATTCGTTGTGGATTAAAGTTCAATCGGGTACATAACAGTTGTACCCTGGGCTGCTGATTGTGCCACGACATGTTCTGCCCCAAACAGGGGTCGACTGGAGCACCCTGTGGACCAGAAGCTTCCTCACTCCCCCCTAGTTTCTGCCCTCAATAAAGAGAACCAGGCGTATGCTTGCCACTGTTGCCAGCTCTTGTCACTCCAGTGGAATGCCATCTGTGGTCGGTATGTTGTTACTTACTGTTGCTGCGAATGGTACCTTGGTCTGAGAGCCAGTCGGCCGGGTTGCCTCAGCCCATCCATCGGTGACTTCACCACTCTCGCCGTGCTGTGCTTCATTGTTCGTTCTGGATGTCTCGGCTGGACCGCTTGTCAAGGGGGTTAACTCATGGTTACTGCAGTTTGATTGCCTTCACGATCGGTGCCATCATGGTGACCGAACAACCTCGCAGCTCTCTGGCTTCAGAGTCGGACCGCTTCTTGCTGGGGAAGGTTAACCAAGGGAAGTCCAGACGAGTCTGAGCTGAAGTGCAATATGATAGAGGAGGACGCCCACCCTGTTTAACCAGTCAATGTTGAATGCTTGGCAACTCTTTGACTGTGATTCTTGTGCTCGAGTCAATCTTGCCGTCCTTGTCGCACACTCACTTTTTCACCTTCTGCTGGTTGTCACCGTTCAGGGGGCCATCAGTCATGGTGGTCGAGACACAGAGTGTTGGTTGTGGGAGAACTTTGGATGGAGGTATCATCTTGCCAGTATTGTGTTAGCACGCTGGTGGGTGGACCTTGGGGCCATTTTAACTTAGCCACTCTCTGACAATTTCCCCTATTTTTCCGGAGCCCAGTTTTCCATCAGTGAACTTCTCCATAATGTCTTGTTAATGTCTTGTTTCTTTTCCGGGTTAGACTTGATTGCTCGCTTGGTCCGCATCCAATCAGTATGGTATTCTGCTTCCAACTCTCGCAGAAAGCTTTCCCATGTTATTGGGGTCGGAGTTCTTGTTCATTGGTTGTTAGCTGGCACCTACGTTTCCATATCACCCATAGCGAGTATGGTTGCACCCTTTGGGACAACTTGCGCTCTTAACCCATGTGTCCGGAGGGTAGTGCAAGACCCTTGAGCCTCATGAGGTTGTCTCCCGGGAAGGGTTTGCCGATGATTTTTTCCCAGAAGGCGGCTGTTTCAAGCCAGAATTCCTTGACGCTGTCACAGAGGAGGAGGCAGTGGCGAATGTCTTCCACAGCTCCTCTGTCGCAAACTGGGCACAATTCGTTCAGGTAATTTCTGTTTTGTGCACCTCTCCTCTTGTTCAGCCATTGATTGGCTGAGAGGGCCTCATAAAGGATTAACCACTGCAGGGACCTAAGGCGGGCATTTCAGATAGCCAGGATGGCACGCCACGGGGTCCAGCGAGCAGGAGGAATAGCAATCTGTAAGTGGTTTTTCCATCTGGAGTTCAGAATTGCAGTTAGATCCTGTGACCTCCTTCTGAGCCTATAACCCAGTCTAGTTGTGTATTGTGTGATATTCCACTCCTGCTTGACCCTGCCACTCCGTGACTTCATCTTCCATGCCCACTCCGCCCGGTCAATTTCCAGATGTTGTATGCGGGTGGTGGGAGCGAATATTGTGAGGTCATTCTCTAGGACCCGAGGCTTGCGAAGCAAATGAGGTTTAACTGACACTTGCGCTTCGCTGGGTTTGTTGACCAGGCTCGAAGTGCCCCCTGGGTGGCCGATGTCGTGGACGGCCATCACGATCCATTCGTTGTTGGGCCCTTTGGTTCTGACGAAAGGCAGCGCTGTGGTCGGGACTGCTTCGTCTGCCCAG